AAAAAAAAAAAAACTTTGTCGAGATCACAAGAAAATTAAGTCGTTATAACGAGAAAACAACTCTCGTTATGTCGTTATAACGAGAAAATAAGTCGTTATAACGAGAAAACAAGAAGGGAAAAAAAAATAATGCATGGCCGCTTAGAACTTCCGTAGTTGTTTCAACTCAGAGAAAAAAAAATTAAGAGAAAACAATGTTAAGGCAGTGGGGTAACAATGTTTTTTTAAGTGGACTCAACAAATAGTTTTTTACAGTGTAGATGACCTCAAAGCAAACACACAAAACACAGCCCTGCCACTGTTATCAGTGAAATATTAACAGTCAACGCTCAAGAACATGGCATGCCATTATATTTAGGTTTATTGAATATGTGGCTCCTTTCAAACACAGAAAATGAACAGTTAATTCTTACTTCAGCAATCTGTAGTAACCATATCTGAAAGCCTCCTGAAGCAGAACAGAGAGCACAACCCCGAAAATGAGCAGCCCTGTCTGCTGAGTGGCACTGTTCTTGTTGCTGATCTGAACTGTGATGAACCACACAAGAGAGGACAGCAACAAAGACACCAGCCAGAAGAAAGCCCTGAAACAAACACAATCATGTCACAAATACTCTCACACATTTCAAACACTGTGCAGAATCCTCGGTCACCTAAACGTGCTTTCCCCGTTCCATTGATGGTTAAGTGCTCTTAAAGGAGTAGCTCACTCAAAAGCTACCCTGTTGTTCAAAAGCTACACCACCGTTCAAAAGCTTGGGATCGGTTAGATTTGAGTTTTTAACGTTTTTTAACAAAAAGTCTCAGCAAGGCTGCATCGAATTGATCAAAAATAAACTGAGAAATATTACTAACATTTCAAACAAATGATTTTTATTTTAATAGCTGGCTTTTTCAGCAGCCATCACACTAGTTTTCAGTGTCATATGATCTTCAGAATTCATTGTGCTGCCGTTTCATATTTTTGTGGAAACCTTTTTAGTTTTGAAAGATTTTATGAACAGAAAGTCTCTGCTGTCACTTTTAACGCATCCTTGCTCGACACAATTATTCATTAAAAACTAAATAAATCTCCCTGACCCCAAACTATTCGTGTACGTTAAATGTCTTACGATTTCCAAACTTCTCTTTGCTTTTACAGTTGTTAGAGTTTAAAGTTGTATCTTCTTGTAATCATATTTATAAGCCTCAGATCCAAGGGATTTGTCAGCAGATGTTTAGGGCAGGTCTCAGCCCGAGTGAAGTGCTGTATCACGGGACTTTCAGCCACACTGAACCGCACTCACAACGGGAGACGAGAGCAGCATATCTGCCCTGATACCTACCCTGCTATGAGGAAGATCACTCGCAGCGGGTCCCTGGCGATTGTAAACACGAACAAAGCGACTGCTGGCCCGAAAGCGATGAACGTACAGCCGAAAAACACCGCCACTGTCATGATGGAGCGCGGCTAGCCTGCTAATTCACTCAAATGACTGCCGCTTCACGCAGATAAGTGCCCTCAGAGGCTATCTATCAACACACTTCATCCATGAGCGAGTCATACGGCTGTAAATCGGTTCGTATAAGCAACATACACCAAGAGTTAATGTGGCGTTTATTGTGTCAGTTTTCTTCGAAATAGGTTGAGAGGGCTCAGCGATACGCTCGAACAGTTCAGCGCAACGTCCGGTTCCTAGTCATGTGACTTCATGTGTTTCGGAGTCGTATTTCCATAACCTATCAGTTTTCTTACCTCACCCACTGAATTCCTTTTCTTACTAGCATTATTTAACCCTCCTATTGTCCTACGAACTTGACCCACATTTAAACCTATTAAAGAGACATGAATACTTGTTTACAGTACATGTCTAAATATCCCCATTAAACACATAAAATGTGTTTTTATCTCATCCAAAATTGTATTGTTATTGTAAATGATATTGTAAAAAGCTGATTCAGTTGATTACAATACCAAATCATGAACAATGTTTCATAGAGGTTATGCAATTTCACACTCACATTAAGTCAAATGTTAATTCATTTTAATGAATGATAAGTTATTCATATAAATCAATAAGTCAATGAATAATAAGTTATTGCAAATGTTCTACACAGTCATTCTTTATAGGCTATTTGTATTCATATACTGCTATATTCAATATTCATTCCATATAATGCATTTAAATAAATGTATTGTTCTTGTCTAAACCTATACAATATAATAAATATATAAACAAAAATCCTCCTGCACATTTTCTTAGTCACACACACACACACACAACATATCAAACTGAGCACTAACAGTAATACAAGCATAAGGCACTGTTGTGTGACATTTTCTGTTCCTCAGTTTCAAGTATCATACTGTTATTCATCCATCAATCGAATATACAAACACATTTTGTCAAGACAATGATATTCCAAATGATGAAGACCATGACGAAGATTAAAATTTGTGTGTCAGCTCCATAACAGCAATAGTTGTGCTCTGGCCAAAGATAAAAGCTCCAGTAACGACAGTCACCACACCCCACCCTGTCAAGATGGATCTGGAAGGAACAAAAAAAATGTGTAAAAGGGAGAAAGTAATTACAAACCATATTTTTAGACACACCATAAATGTATGAAAAAAGCTAGAATTAAATAAGAGACCAGAGGAAATGGCCAGGAATTTAAAATGACTTCACTTGGCTTTCTTTTAAAGGGGTCATAGGATGCCCATTTTCCACAAGTTGTTATGATTCTTTGGGGTCTTGATGAAAAGTCTGTAACATAGTTTGGTTAAAATTTCTCAATGGTAGAGTAAAAAACACCTTTTTTACCCCGTCAAAACAGCTCTTTTCAGATCAAGCCGTTTTTGTAGCATTTTCCTTTAAATGTTAATGAGCTCTGCTGACCCCGCCCCTCTCTTCCCAGCTGCTCTCAGAGAGACTGTTTACTTTAGCCGCATTCATCGTGAAACTTGCTAATTAGCACATTATTAGGAAAGGCGATTTGCAAAGATTCATTACAAAACATTATACTCACTTCTTCTGTAGATGAGGCTGGATCATGAATGATTTGCGCAAACATAGACGCATTTATGTAGATCGGGGGCACATTCCCTTCAGAAACAAATAATCCACTGCAAGTCCAGCGGCTCGGATGTCTGGAGTAAATGACTACTGCTATGTTCATTATTACAGCCAACAACAGAACACCTCACTCGCTTAAGAGTCATTCTTGTCTACATCTGCTCCGGCGGTGAAACAATGGCGTAAACTTTCTATTCATCAAAGAATACTGAAAAAAGTATGACTAAAACTGTTAATACTGATAATAATAAGAATTATTAATAATAACAGAGCACCAAATCAGCATATTAGAATGATTTCTGAAGGATCATGTGACACTGAAGACTGGAGTAATGATGCTGAAAATTCAGCTTTGCCATCACAGGAACAAATTACATTTTAAAATACATTAAAATAGAAAATGGTCATTTTAAACTGTAATAATATTTTACAATATTACTGTTTTATTGTATTTTGATCACAAATGTAGTTTTCTTGAATATAAGAGATTTCTCTTAAAAATCGTTAAAAAGCTTATTCAAAGCCAGTACTGAATGTAAATTTTATATTAATACAGAATATCTCAAAGGATGATTGATTGAAAAATGTCACACAAATGCTTGTACAGCAAGATCTGATATACAAGTTATCAGTGGTTTAAAAATAAAAATAATAATAATAATTTGACCCTGCTCACTGTTCTCTCCTGGAAAAAAAAAAACATGAATCTACACTATAATAATAAGAACTATTAATAATAACAGAGCACCAATAGCATATTAGAATGATTTCTGAAGGATCATGTGACACTGAAGACTGGAGTAATGATGCTGAAAATTCAGCTTTGCCATCACAGGAATAAATTACATTTTAAAATACATTAAAATAGAAAATGGTCATTTTAAACTGTAATAATATTTTACAATATTACTGTTTTACTGTATTTTGATCACAAATGTAGTTTTCTTGAATATAAGAGATTTCTCTTAAAAATCGTTAAAAAGCTTATTCAAAGCCAGTACTGAATGTAAATTTTATATTAATACAGAATATCTCAAAGGATGATTGATTGAAAAATGTCACACAAATGCTTGTACAGCAAGATGTATACAAGTTATCAGTGGTTTAAAAATAAAAATAATAATAATAATTTGACCCTGCTCACTGTTCTCTCCTGGAAAAAAAAAAACATGAATCTACACTTGTCAGAATTACAACGCACCATCTCCACACTGATGGCTGTGTTCACGCCGCCAGCCTTCTCAAAAGCCCATGGAAAGTTAAGGAGTCCCGCGCCGAGGGCAGATTTAAGCATGATGAATATGGCCCCAAACGATCCAAGTCGCGGGACGTCCGAGCCCCGCGCAGGTTTGGATAGCAGACTGATGCTGCGTATACTCTCCCGGGCCAGTTCCTCCATGCTCAGGACGAAGGCTGAAAATAATCACAATACTAAAGTTCTGTTGTAGTCTATTCTAATACGAAAACGATCTAAGCAGCTTCCCTCTGTAAAAGTGGAGCGTTATGTCCAAAGCATCCGCACTTATCTAGAGCAAAATCTTTGTTCAGTTTAGTATAGCGAGTGAGGCTGTCTCAAGTAAGACCCCTTAAAAATGTCATCCCAAGGTGAGAAATATTGTAAAGACTTGCTAGCGTTTGTAACGGTGGGTTCCGCGTCTAAATGATTGCTTTTCTAATGATGCTCGTTGGGAGGAATTTGCAGCTGATTTCACACAGGAGCGACTATAGGCTACTTCAGCTTCCTTATCAAACGAGACCCTCGTTTTGTCTAAAACAGGAGGAATTCATGTTATTTTCTAAAGTGAAGCGCCGTGGCAGTTTAATGAGTGCTCGTCTAGCGACCCTGTTCGAGCCCTTTGAACAAACATTCATTTGAAGAGCTTGCTTGAGGCACGTGCCTCTTAAAGGGACTAAAAACTCCGTTTGTTTGTGAACTTTCATTTCTTTGCTTCGTTTACATTTTTTCGGATTTATAAATCATATTAATTTAATTTAATAGTGTGGAGGCTCTGTCACTTTTAAATATCATATAATAAATATATTACAGCTGTCTGTAAAACATAATGCAAATGTAATGTAAATATATAAAGAATATATAAAGAATTATATAGGCTAAAGAAAGAAAAAAAAAATTCTGTGTATTTACGTTACATTTACATTAAATTTAGTAGAGGAGCCAAGGCTATTCGGGAACAGTGCTGGGCCGATTACTTGATTTAAATAAGATAATAATTTAATAAGTAAAACAGTAACTGTAGTCTGATTCCGAGTATTTTAAAATGTAATCTAATTACTTCCAGAGTTAGTTATATATACAGGCATACAGATAGTCGGAATAATAATTTTCTTGGATGGTGTTTAAAAATGTGAATAATGTGTAGCAAAATATAACTTTGAAATGACACGTAGGCTTCACATCCCAGACTGCCATACCTCGACGACTCGCTGTGCGTCATGTCACGCCTATCCGACAGATGGCGGTAGAGCATAACTAGCAGTATCCTGTCGCATTTGATTCTCGAACAAGATTTGAACAGTTTAGCTCCTGAGAAGTTGTTCGTTATCACGTGGGTTTAGTAAAAATGCCCGTTGATACTAAACGTATCCGTGGACCGGAGGAGTCGCAGTCCCCGCTGCTCTTTCTTTCCCCAGGCAAAGTTCCCGAGGCCAGCAGCAGGCAAGGCGTCCGGGGGAATGGAGACGTGCGGCCAGTGTTTGCGCGATGCGGGCTGATCAGCCAGGCTAAGGGCTCCGCGTACCTCGAGGCTGGGAACACCAAGATTATATGCTCGGTGTATGGACCGAGAGAAGCTGAACGCAAGGACGAAAGCGATATGAAAACCGGTCGCCTTGTTTGCGACTTCAGGCTCGCGCCGTTTTCATGTATGAAACGGGGTGCCTGGATCCAAGGCAGTGAGGAAAGAGATCTGTCCCAGACTCTACTGGAGAGCTTGCAGCCAGGAGTTTGCCTGCACAGATACCCGCGCTCTCAGATTGAGGTTAATGTCATGGTTCTGGAGAATGACGGCTCGATACTGGCACATGCGGTGACATGCGCCTCTATGGCCCTGGCGGATGGCGGTATTGAAATGTTTGATGTGGTGTTGGGTTGCACGCTGCGGCAGAATGGAAGCGCGTGTCTCGTTGACCCATCGTTCTCGGAGGAATATGGGAGCTGGCAGGAGGGCTACGGGGAGGAGCAGGGGTGTGTCACCGTGGCTCTGCTTCCCAATCTGAATCAAGTGTCTGGTCTGACTGCGGACGGAGAGATGCGGGAAGACATGCTGGCCGATGCTGTGAGAAGCTGCATGGACGGCTGTCACAAACTCTATCCGGTGCTACAGCAAGCTCTGACGCGGGCTGTGAAGAAAAAAGCTCCTCCACCAGAGAAATAGACTTCTACTTGCCGCGGTCCTAAAGTTGTGTTTTGAGGAAAATAAAACTAAAAGTGAATATATTGTTTATGTGCGTTGCTGATACTTTCTACACATAAAAGTGCAACAATGCAGTACAAATGAAATACACTTATCTGCAGTTGCAAATATATTTTCTTTTATTTCTTCATTCCACAAGTGTTGCTGGTTTTGTATGCAGTAAGTATATAAATCCCTGATTGACTCACACAAATGTGACAATTCATTTGGACTGTGTAATGAACTAATTAAAAAAAGGGGGCATGAGTAAAAGTACAAATACAAATTAATTAAAAAAAACTGGCACTTTTGGAATGTGAATATTCAAATATTAAAGTGCTTGGATTTTTTGTATATTTTGGCAAACAAATTACAAAACCACTTTAAAACATAAATGACAACTAAAACCTGGCTAAATGTGTCTCATCTGTATAGTAAAACAGACTTGTAAGATTGCTCAAGCAAATCATAGTGCAAACTGTAGTATATATTTGACTGATATATCGCATAATTATGCATACATTACTATGTAATACATGTTAACTGTTTGTGTCACAGCATGCAAGGTAATGAGGTAATGAACATGGATGAGATTGTGTGTTTGATCCCTGCACTGCACTGTGTGAGGCTCAAGCACGTTTCAATATAATGTTTGTAATTTCTGAACGACTTGCAATTCTCATCGGAATGCCATAATAACCGGTTCCAGGGGTCACGTAGACCATAGTGTGTTCAGAGACACGGTAGAGTCCACAGAAAAATGGATTCATCAGGAATGCCAGGATGGTGAGGGGGAACAGCTGACCACCATGTGTGTGACCTACACAAATGCAAAATTGAGTTCAGTAGAGGACAGAAGTTAAGCTTTAGCAGCATACTCCTAAATTTTCCCTTTACATAACACCAAAGCATCTGAAAGACCACAATAATTGAATTGCTATTTACAGACCTGAGAGTACCAGACTGATGTCTGGTCGTTGCTGGAGGGCCTGTTTGGCAGCATGAGGCTGATGTGCAAGAAGAATAATAGGGCTCTCTGCACTGCAGCCACTAAGAGCTTTCTCAACATCCATGCCATGGCCTGGGTATCTTTAACCAAAGTAACACCATGAACATAAGCCCAGTACAAGGCACACTATGCATCAGATTTGTATGTATTCAAATGAGCCTGACAATGAGATCAATGTGGACTGACCGAAGCATGCGGGCCTCAAGGTCATCAATGCCAGCAAGGCAAATCCAGTCTTGAGTTTGTTCAGGACGGAACACTTTTGCATGGCTGTTGTGAAGAGCCTGAATCCCCATTGAGCGCAAGAGCTCAAACCAGCCTTCGACATCAGCAGTGTAGTAGTCATGATTGCCTGAAAGTCACATGAAAATGTGAAGATGTGCACAAAATGTTTATTTACACCCTTTTGTCAAACAGTTAACTGACCTGTAGCAAAATAGGAGCCCAGTCGAGCCTTCATCTGTCCCAGTGGTTCTGCAGCGCTCCTCAATCGAATCACCTGAGAGTCAGTCAGGTCACCGACAATCACCACCACATCTACAGCAACAAACACAAGGAGTAAAATTCAATATCAGGTATATGTTAAAGGGACAGTACCCCAAAATTGAAAATTCGGGCATCATTTGCATGTAGTTCCAAACTTGTAATACTCACTTTGTTCTGTTGAACATGAAGATATACAGTGTGTGTGTGTGTGTGTGTGTATATATATATATATATATATATATATATATATATATATATATATATATATATATATATAAAATGGATGTCACTGGGAATGGATACAGTTTGGTTACTAACATTCTTGAAAATATCTTCAGGTTCAACAGAAACAAGGCAGTCATACAGGTTTGGAATGACATGAGTGTTAGTAAATGATGGGAGAATTAATTTTTGGGTGGACTATCCCATTAAATTTGAAAGATTATACTGATAGCATATAGTTGTAATTACCTGGGTTCAGCTCATTCACCATAGTCACAATGCGCTGCAGTTTGGAGCGGCCCACTGTAGGTCCCAGATGTATGTCGGACAGAAGCACCAACCTGAGCCCGTTCAAAGACTCAGGGAGCTTCTCTACTGGGATCTCCACTTCAATTACTCGTGGAGGCTGGGCTGCATTTACTAACCCATACACTGCCAGGATTGCTGTTACTATCATTGCCAACACTATATGACTGACTGATCCGCTCGCGACCGCATCCTCTTCTCCTCGGCTGCGGGAGAGAAGCCTGCGGAGGCGGATAAGGCAGCCAAAAACAAACAGGAAGAACAGTAGGATGACATAAATGCCCAAACAGGAGAAACACAGCAATGATAACCAGTGTGGCTCAGTGTCCACGAGGAAAAACATGCACAGGTAGCTCCCGTGCACCAGAGTAAGAAACAGCAGGACGAGAAGACGCCAACATCTCTGCGGGACAGAAGGTGCACCTCTGGATCCGCACAGCCGCCTCACCACGCGTTTCCATATGTAGAGAGAGCCGAGGAGCAGCAGCGAGTTGATGAAAAGGAGAAACTGAACGCGAAACAACAAAGCACGAGTGTTTTTGTCAACCCGCTCTGAGATTAATGTTCTGGATATAAGCATAGAGAAAAAAACCACCCCCGATGCGATTCCTACTTTCCATTCGGCGGAGAGGCGCCCGAGTCCAAGCATACTGACCGTCATGTGCTCGGTCACTGACCCCGGCAACTATACTGCTGCGGTCATTATTATGACAGCACGGTATAACTTATAAGAGCGATAAAAGAGTTCCTCATACCTGTCTATTCACGGTCCATCCTAGAAAAAAACATTTGAGTCATTCTCTTAACTCGGACATGGGTGAACAACACAAAACTACTTCCGCAGACAGAGACCTGATGGCTGCTATGATAACAACATGAAGAATACTGTTGTGGTTCGCGGTCTCGGACTAGAAATGTCATACATGCTCAAGCTATATAAGCGTCCACTACATAATTCGCGATCGTGTAAAACAAATTAAATATAAACACGTCAGTCATTTGACAGCGTCTCTTCTGGCCTTTCTGCGTGACAAGTGTGTGCGGTAATATCATTGGCTCGTCGCATTACAGAGGCGTGGCTAATGTGACGCTCTGAATTCTGATCGGAAAGGATCTCAGTATTATTAATACACATATTTTGAGTAATATGGGCCTATTCGTTTACAACTTTTTTTATATTAAAACAGTATTTCCTGCCGTAGTTTGTGCTTTTGTAATCATTGTTCAGCATCTTACTTAAAACGTTATTACCTCTGCATGAGCTGTTTTATAAGCAACACTCCATTTCTGTTCATTTTTATTGAAAGTTTGAAGCTATTTTTTTCGTTAGGTCAAATAACATATAAGTTGATAATGTGATATAACAAAACATTTTGATTTAATAATAATAATGATGATGATAATAATAATAATAAGTGTTAACTTTATATATACCCAAAGTTGAATAAGTTCTTAAAGAAAAATTCTTTCTTAATATCACACTTAATACTTAATACACACACCCCAGGTTTCATAAGCCTAGTCTCTGACTAAAATGTAAGTCTGAGCTGTTTCAACTGAAAGAAACTTACACTGATCGATCTTAAAATGTGTCAGTGTCCTTGTTTTGTGTCAAAATGCACACCAGTAATGTTTTTTCTAAGGTAGGTTCATAAAACATTACATTACAGAGGCGTGGCTAATGTGACGCTCTGAATTCTGATCGGAAAGGATCTCAGTATTATTAATACACATATTTTGAGTAATATGGGCCTATTCGTTTACAACTTTTTTATATTAAAACAGTATTTCCTGCCGTAGTTTGTGCTTTTGTAATCATTGTTCAGCATCTTACTTAAAACGTTATTACCTCTGCATGAGCTGTTTTATAAGCAACACTCCATTTCTGTTCATTTTTATTGAAAGTTTGAAGCTATTTTTTTCGTTAGGTCAAATAACTTATAAGTTGATAATGTGATATAACAAAACATTTTGATTTAATAATAATAATGATGATGATAATAATAATAATAAGTGTTAACTTTATATATACCCAAAGTTGAATAAGTTCTTAAAGAAAAATTCTTTCTTAATATCACACTTAATACTTAATACACACACCCCTGGTTTCATAAGCCTAGTCTCTGACTAAAATGTAAGTCTGAGCTGTTTCAACTGAAAGAAACTTACACTGATCGATCTTAAAATGTGTCAGTGTCCTTGTTTTGTGTCAAAATGCACACCAGTAATGTTTTTTCTAAGGTAGGTTCATAAAACATTACTAGAACTATGGTCTAATCCTGGCTTAGTCTGTGAAACCAGACCACAGTGTCAAATGTATACATGCAAAACTGCATTTAAATTTTAGGAATGGGGTCATCATGAATGGGGTCATCTGCGTCTTTAACACGAACTGCAGAGAAATCTGGAGACAACGAGAAACGATGATCCACAGGATCCACATTCTCAACGTGTTTATTGCCAAGTTTAGCCCCACATGCTGCTCTGTTCTTACAATTTAGGCATTCTATTATTTTGTATATTGTGGTATATTTAGTGTAGGCCTACGCGAGCTATTACAGATTTGAAAGTTTACACGTATCCTGTATGGATGAGAAATAACATTAAAATTCAAAAGTAGCCTACATCCTTTATTTCATCAATAATCGCAACAAATGCGGGAGTACACGAAATAATTGTTTTATTATTATTATTAATGGAGCACAGTGTCACAACACATCTCACAGACTTTCATTTGCAGCAGTGTGTCGCACGATTTCTCCTTGTCCTTGCACGCGCTCTCACAGTCCTTCGTGCCCTTACTGCATTCAGACGGACAGCTGCCGCAACCTACCGGGTCGAAACGAGGGAAATGATTTCATTCTGTAGAATTCCCCCCCCCCAATTGTCGCTTGACGAATTTGCATTTTGGTGGATAATAGACTTATATTGCTTGCCTGTTGAATGGCATAAAATGATATTCTGCGTCTTTAACACGAACTGCAGAGAAATCTGGAGACAACGAGAAACGATGATCCACAGGATCCACATTCTCAACGTGTTTATTGCCAAGTTTAGCCCCACATGCTGCTCTGTTCTTACAATTTAGGCATTCTATTATTTTGTATATTGTGGTATATTTAGTGTAGGCCTACGCGAGCTATTACAGATTTGAAAGTTTACACGTATCCTGTATGGATGAGAAATAACATTAAAATTCAAAAGTAGCCTACATCCTTTATTTCATCAATAATCGCAACAAATGCGGGAGGGGTCATCTGCGTCTTTAACACGAACTGCAGAGAAATCTGGAGACAACGAGAAACGATGATCCACAGGATCCACATTCTCAACGTGTTTATTGCCAAGTTTAGCCCCACATGCTGCTCTGTTCTTACAATTTAGGCATTCTATTATTTTGTATATTGTGGTATATTTAGTGTAGGCCTACGCGAGCTATTACAGATTTGAAAGTTTACACGTATCCTGTATGGATGAGAAATAACATTAAAATTCAAAAGTAGCCTACATCCTTTATTTCATCAATAATCGCAACAAATGCGGGAGTACACGAAATAATTGTTTTATTATTATTATTAATGGAGCACAGTGTCACAACACATCTCACAGACTTTCATTTGCAGCAGTGTGTCGCACGATTTCTCCTTGTCCTTGCACGCGCTCTCACAGTCCTTCGTGCCCTTACTGCATTCAGACGGACAGCTGCCGCAACCTACCGGGTCGAAACGAGGGAAATGATTTCATTCTGTAGAATTCTGGGTGACGTGATGTTTAATAATCCAAAGTGTTCGTTATTCGACTCACTTTTTTTGCTATGTGTGCACGTGCAGTTAGTGCATTTGCAGTTTTTCCCGCAATTACAAGATTTAGCTACAACACAGACAGATGGTCTTTTACATTTTCTGAAGTCACCGTATGTTTCTTGCTACAATTACTTAGATTACATATGTTTGGTTTACATACTTACATTTAGAACAGCCACACTGGTCCATTTTGGCACCCTAATTCCAACAAATGTATGATGCTTTCGTGGAAAAATCTGTCTGGTAGAAATAAATGCAATCGCTCGTTCGTGCGTCACAATCACGTACGTGGGAACGTCATGTGAAGTGTGTGAGCGCGCTGATGGATGAACTTGGGATCTCATTCAGTATTATGTGGGCATCAGATAAAAATAAAAAGAAAGCCAGGCATAATATAATTCTTATCTTTCACACTGATCGTATTTTATGCATTTATGTAACTACTGCAATTATATACGCAGCCCAATTCTTGATAACTGCAGTTAAACTTGACTAACCATGTTAAAGGAGGGACAAATCAGTACACAGCCAGTAGTTGGTGCTAAAGTGTTTTCTTTTTTAATGTAAACATTTAATTGGTCGGTCAGAAGACTAAACCCAGCAGAACAGTGTGCAGTAGGCCTCTGACCCCAAGGGAGGAAAAGAGGCCATTCAGTGCACCAAACAAAAAAAATCCATCCACGGCAGAGAAAAAGAGGAAAAGAAATCGGGGTTAAGTAATAGGTCATGGTTGAATAAAGAGTGTGCATGCATCACACGCACACGCATCTGTACACACTCTCACATGTCATTATGTCATCAGTTAAAGAGAGTGAGTTAAAAATAAGCAATAGCTCATTCATTCAGTAATTCAGTTATATATGAATCTGAATTACTATGTTAATATTTACGCTGTTCTCCATGTAAAGTCTGTAAGCTAGTTTGTTTGTATTCATCATAGCCCAACACTGATAGGGTGCACAAAGTGTGGGGCGATACAAAATATGTAAATACATGTGCTTATACAGGGCCGTCCTTAGCTGAAGCGGGGCCCCCCTCGGTCCGTTGGCGATCGCGTTCCAGGGGGGTGGTCCCCCTCGGTTCGTTTGCCACAGGGCCTGGTGCGACCGCACCAGTTGCACCCCCCTAAGGACAGCCCTGCGCTTATAGTTATATAAATAAATAAACTAGAGAATAATTTATACAGAAATGAACAACTGAAAATATTTTTTACTATTTGTGCTCATGTTGAGTGACCCAAAAAGGGGCGATCCCAGGTCTCAAAGAACTTTGGCTTAAAGAACTGCCCCTGGACAACATTCAGTTTCTGAAATGCCATTCAGCTCTTCTAAATGATTCACCATATATCTTGCTCTTAGTCATTTAGCCTGCAAGAGTCACTGATCCTTCTGGGTTTCTGAGATCATTTTAGTGGATCATGCCAGCATTTGGAAGTCTCTTACACAGCAGAGAACCTTTATGTGTCCTTTGTGTCACCTGACAAACACTCTCACTCGTTATGACTTCCACTCACACACATGCACTCAGGCTTAAAGCATCTATGCTCGGCCAAACACTAATTTTTACACTATACATGCACACCCATACGTTATTTACGCCAGCAATGTACTGACAAACTACAAAGGAAAATAAGGGATAAATATTCTAAACAAAAGACAAAAATTGACAGAGTAAAATGAAATAAGGGAGTGCCTTGGCCAAAGTCACAGGGGTGTCAGTTCAGTCACTTGTTACCATTTCAAATGGCAGCAAGTGGAGTTGGAGCTCAGTAGAGGCCACAACCACGCAGGTTATTGGCGATGATGATGTCAGTGACAGCATCAAAGACCACTTGGATGTTTCCTGTGTCTGTAGCGCAGGTTAGATGACAGTAGATCTCTTTATTAGGAGAGCGATTCTTACTTTCAAACTGACTCTGTATATATGCAGCCGCGGCTTCGAATGTATTTGGGCCTGCAGGAAAGATGAAGAGATGATGGACTGAGTTTTCAAGCCTTTTTTTAGATCTGTACATTTCTTATATACATGTGTGCATAGCTCTTGTACCTGTGTATTCTGGGAAGCAGATATTCAATGGAGATTTCACAATCTTTTCTCCAAAAAGGTCCTTCTTATTAAGGAAAAGGATGATGGATGTGTCAGCAAAGAACTTATTGTTACATATAGAGTCAAAGAGCGTCAGAGACTCATGCATACGGTTCTGTAGAGAAGAGAGAGAAAAGATTTAATCAAACACATTTGAATTTTTTCAGACTGCATAATTAGCATGAGAGTTTAAACTCTCTTTAAAAAAAATTCTCATTATATTACAGTATATATTATATTATTGTCACAGAGTCAACAACACCTACAGGACCAGACCCCTACACTCCACCCACTCGTTCACAGTCACCAGAGTTCTGCACCTGCACCTGTCACATCCAATCAGCACAGACTATATAAACCGCTCACCTCAGTTCACTGTTGTCAGGTCTCGTTGATCCTACCTGAATGCTACCCGACCACTTACTTGCATGGACTTACCCTCTTGCGTCCGATATTCATCTGCATTCAACCTCCAAACCCGTCTCACCAACACCAGTTCACCCAAACCTGCAAAGATAAGACTGTTATTTACTGAAATACCTCAGCATTGGTCTGTCGACCAATCACTTACCTGCTATCCATGTGTATCTGTCAAAACCTGCAATACACCTGTTGTTTGGATTACCTTGTTGCATGTTTCATGACAGAAGACCAGACCAAACATGCAACGTGAAGATGCTTCCAGTGATGCACACAACCATTCCAACGATACTTTTGCTGACTTAGTTCATGCGCTCCATCAAGCACTTCAACCACTCGTCACCACTCCTTCACCGTCTGCCTCTGCCAGTCCCATGGCCCGATCAGCGACCTACTCAGGAGAAGAGGAGGATTGCAGCGGATTCCTGCTACAATGCTCTCGATTTTTTTAAATGCAGCCCCAGCTGTGCACCAACGATCGTGCCAAGATTGCATGCATCATTTCCCTGTTATCTAGATGAGCTTTGCAGTGGGAACGTGCTATGTGGTAGGCCAATGGACCACTTACGAACTCGCTGAAGGCGTTTACCATGCATTTTAAAGACATCTTTGGACAGACCTCTAGCACGCTCTCTGTGCATGATCAACTCTACCGGCTCCATCAAGGTAGATCTTCAGTCACAGACTATGCTCTTCGGTTTCGCACTCTGGCAGCTGTCAGTGCTTGGAATGAAACAGCCCTAATCACTGCATTTTGTCAAGGTTTAAACTCCAACATCCATCAACAAATGGGATATATGATGACATGATTGGATTAGAGAGCTTCATCCAGTGATCGATTGCCTATATTATGGTTCAGAGGGACACCTCCTTCCCTCGTGACCAGTCAGACCTCCACGCCAAATGGTGAGTACTATCCATATACCACTTTCGATATCCTTGCTTGCCCATTCAGATGTTATTCTAAAAACTTCCCATCAATCAATTTCAGCGAAAGCCCTCATAGATTCCGGAGCCGCCAGAAATTTCATCTCACACTCAACCTACTTCGCAAGCTTCACCTCCGAAGGAAACATTGTCCTCCATGTGACCCTTGGCTACATTCATCATTGTCCCACCATTGTGTCCCTCCACCTTGGATGTCTACATCAGAAAAGGATCTAATTTTTGGTGCTGGAGGGTTCCACAGCCGACATCATCCTGGGATGCCCATGGTTATTAGAACATGCTCCCCTTGTGAACTGGAAAACCGGCGAGGTGCAACAATGGAGTGAGGACTCTTTGGCTAACTGTATCAAGACTGTTAGAAGAACAACCTTCAAGTCTGTTAAACCTAAATCAACTCCTTCTTCTCATGTCGATGTATGCTCCACATCCATTGAGAGCCCTGACACCTCCAAACCACAAAAAGATTCCTCCAGAATACTGGGCGTTCCAGGATGTCTTCAGTAAGAAACTGGCAACCAAACTACCACCACATTGGCCATGGGACTGTGTGATCGATCTGCTGCCATTTCCACATGCTAAAAAATAATTGGCCATGGGACTGTGTTATCGATCTGCTGCCATTTACACATGGTAAAGTCTACCCGTTGTCCATCTCGGAACAAAAGGCAATGGAGGAGCATATCGAGGAGGCTCTCAAGCAAGAATTCATCCGTCCATCCATTTCCCTGCCGCTTCAAGTTTCTACTTTGTGGGAAAGAAGGACGGAGGCTTGCAACCCTGCACTGACTACCATGCTCTCAACTCTCAGACGGTTATGTTCCGGTACCCTCTTCTTCTGGTCCCAGCAGCACTGGAGCAGTTACAGGGAGCTCGCATCTTCACGAAGTTGGACCTGCAGGCCATTACGAATTATGCCGTACAGACCGTCCAACTCACCCTCAGTCTTCCAGGGATTTATGAACGAGGTGTTCCGGGAATTCCTTCATTGTTTCATCATTGTTTACATTGATGATATCCTCATCTATTCCTGGAACCAGGCCAAACATCGCCAACACGTGGTGCAAGTCCTCCAGAAACTTCAATAATTCCACCAGTATCTCAAGCTCGAGAAATGCATGTTCCACTGTAACACTATCCATTACCTTGGCTATGTCATCGACCAACACGGTATTCGCATGGACCAGAGGATGGTACAGGCAGTTGAGAATTGGGCACAACCCATATCCAGCAAGGAACTACAATGCTTCTTGGGCTTTGCGAACTTCTACAGGAGGTTCATCAACAACTTCAGTAAGATTTGCTCACCTCTAACATCCTTGCTGAAACATGGGGCCAAGTCTCTGTCCTGGAACTCTGAAGCATCTAATGCCTTCAACCAGCTCAAGAAAGCGTTCTGTGCCTCTCCTACCCTAGTGCATCTCAATCCAGAACCGCCCTTTGTCGTCGAAGTTGATGGATCCACCACCGGGGTAGGAGCCATATTGTCTCAGCGGCAGGGTGAGCCTCCCAAACTCCATCCATGTGCCTTTTTCTCTAAGAAGCTGTCCCCGGCGGAGCACAACTATGACATCAGTAACCGCAAAATGCTGGCCATCAAACTTGTCTTAGAAGAGTGGCGCCTTTGGCTGGAGGGAGCTAAACATCCTTTTGAGGTCATCACTGACCACCGTAATCTTGAGTATCTCTGGGAAGCCAAAAGATTAAACACCCGTCAAGCTTGTTGGTCTCTTCTTCACCAGATTCAATTTCACTGTGACTTACCGGCCAGGGAGTAAGAACCAGAAAGTGGATGCTCCGTCCAGTGTCTACCACCCTGAGTCAGAGACAACAACTCCTAAACCCATTCTCCCTGCAGTCATCATTGTCAGCCCTATTGAGTGGTCCATTGATGACCAGATCGTGGAAGCCATGCAGTCTGAATCTGCTCCACCGGGAGGTCCTGAGGGACAGATCTATGTGCCAACTCATCTCCGTCTGTCCCTCATGGACTCAGCACATACATCACCGGGCTCTGGACACCCAGGCAGCCAGCAAATCCTCTCGCTCATCAGCAATCGCTACTGGTGGCCCAATATGGCCCAGGACATCTCCTGGTTCATCCAAGGATGCTCAGTCTGTGCCAAGGTCCCTCGCCACCTACCTGAGGGAAAGCTGGTCTCCCTTCCTGTACCTAATAGGCCATGTTCACACATTGGAGTTAATTTCATCACTGACTTACCTTCTTCGGATTCTCACACGTGTCCTCTTCATTGTAGATTGTAGGTTTCTCCAAAGCATGCAAGTTGATTGCTTTGAAAGGACTACCCACTGCCTTTGAAACTGCCGAAACCCTCTTCCAGCAAGTCTTTTGTCATTTTGGGATCCCCGAAGATATCGTCTTCGTCCGCGGACCTCAATTCATCTCCCGAGTGTGGAATGCCTTTTTCCAGTTACTCTGAGTCACTGTCAGCTTAACATCGGGATATCATCTGCAGTCCAACGGCCAGAATGAGAGAAAGATACAAGAAATCGGGAGATACCTACGGTCATATTGTCATGAACAACAAGACAGCTGGAGCTGTTACCTTCCATGGGCCAAGTATGCACAGAACTCCCTGCTTCAAGCCACCACTGGATTAACACCCTTTTAGTGTATACTCGGCTACCAACTGCCCCTGTTTCCCTGGTCAGGTGAGCCTTTTGATGTTCCAGCTGTCCACCATTGGTTCCAGGAGAGCGAGAGGGTTTGGGACTCAGCTCACATCCACATGCAGAGGGCAGTTCGGAGACACAAGAGCCAGGCCGACACTAGAAGATCAGCAACACCCTAGTATCATCCAGGGCAGAAGGTCTGGCTCTTAACCAGGGACATCTGTCTTTGACTGCCCTGTCGCAAGCTAAGTCCCCACTATGTCATTCCATTCACAATCCAGAGGCAGATCAATGAATTCACATACAGGCTAAACCTTCCTCCTCACTACGGAATATCACCTTCTTTTCATGTATCCCTGTTGAAACCATATACTAATCCTCTGCTTGCTTCCTCTCCAGGGTCTAGTGCTGATGAAGTGCCTCCTCCTCCTCCAATGGATCCTTCAGAGGAGAATATCTACAGAGTGAACACCATCCTAGACTCCCGACGACAGGGTGGTCACCTAGAGTACTTCATATACTGTGAGGGGTTCGGCCCAGAGGAAAGATCTTGGGTTGCCCCTTTGATGACAGACTAGACCCATCTCTGCTACTTGAATTCCACACGTATCACACCGACTGTCCAGCACCGAGAAGCAGAGGCCACCTCCATCATTGTCGAGCTGCCCGTAGAGGGGGGGTTCTGTCACAGAATCAACAACACCCACAGCACCAGACCCCTACACTCCACCCACTCGTTCACAGTCACCAGAGTTCTGATCACATGCACCTGTCACATCCAATCAGCACAGACTATATAAACTGCTCACCTCAGTTCACTGTTGTCTGGTCTCGTTGTTCCTACCTGAATGCTACCCGACCACTTACTTGCATGGACTTACCTTCTTGTGTCCGATATTCATTCTGCATCCAACCTCCGGATCCAGCTCACCAACACGTTCATCCAAACCTGCAAAGATAAGACTGATATTCACTGAAATACCTCAGCATTGCTCTGTTGACCAATCACTCACCTGCTATCCACGTGTATCTGTCAAAACCTGCAATAAAGTTGTTTGGATTATCTTGTTGCATTCTTCTGTTTTATGACAATTATATTATATTAATTATATATATATATATATATTAATTTTGAATATACAAATATGTTAAATTTTTTATAAATATGTGTGTGTGTGTGTGTGAAATTTAAATTATATAATTATATATAACACAAATTAAATTACTTTTATAATATACATATATATATATATATATATATATATATATATATATATATATATATATATATATATATATATATATATATATATATATATATATATATATATATATATATATATATATATATATATATATATATATATATATATATATATATATATATATATATATATATATATATATATATATATATATATATATATATATATATATATATATATATATATATATATATTAATTTTGAATATACAAATATGTTAAATTTTTTATAAATATGTGTGTGTGTGTGTGTGAAATTTAAATTATATAATTATATATAACACAAATTAAATTACTTTTATAATATACATATATATATACCATTATATATATAAAATCATACATACATACATAAATACATATACACACACACACACACAAATATATTTGGTGATTCAGATCAACTTCAGGTTGACTGTCAAAGGATTGTTTTAAATGCAAAGATAGAAAAAAAACAAGAGTGCTTTTTTAAACTAATTTACCATTAAATGTCATAATGTGAGTATAAAAGCTGTCTAAATGATCAGGTGTAAATCTGGGTGTAGTAGTTTACCGTGGTTTCGTCTTCATGGAGCATTTGGTCATATCCACTCATTGCCACACAGAAGATAATGGCTGTCACATCCTCAAAGCAGTGAATCCATTTTTTCCTCTCTGATCTCTGTCCCCCCACATCAAACAGCCTGGGGACGAAACATCACACACTTTCAGGACACATGTGAAGCCATGTACATGCATGTGTGCACATACACAAGACATGCAATGCATGTTAAGAAACAAAATAGGTCGACCAAAGATATCAGATTTGCAATGTCTAACACGCTGATAAAGTGAATTAAAATAAATGATTTTCCAATTCCTTATGTCAGTTACTTACAAATAGACTTTGAGGACAATTATACAGATCTTTTTTTATTTATGCTATATAACATCTAAGTACCTTTTCATTCACAAAATATTTCCAATATTTTAATTACAATTTTCTAAAATAATTTTTTTTTTAAATGTAATTCATTTAAAAAAATCACATATGAGTCAAATCAGATTTGTATTGTGATTTTTACAATGACAGCTTAACATAAAGTCATACTAATATGTCTTAAAATGTACACTGAGCAGTTTTAGGGTTGGGTGATTTGACAATATATGTTGATAATTTAAATGATGATCCCAGTTCAGATTCAGCTCTATATATTTACTTATATTATGCAGATATATAGTTTGATATAAATTTTATAAGGTATAATAACATGCTTTTAGGAGGCACGGAAAAATCCTCATTTTTTGAATTCCCAATAAATATTGCATTTAACTCAAATAAGAGAAACATAACTATTCAGTAGATACCTAAAGTTAAGGTTCTTGAAGGAAAAATGTGTCTCAACGATGCCAGTAGTTTTGACTCGGGTTCGGAGAATATCCTGTTCAGTGGGGAGGTAATCTGGAGATCCAACGCGCTGCAAACTGTCTAGGTAACTAAAACACAGAACACCCGTGTGGATTTTTAAATATGTATTATAATACATAATATGTGTAACGTGCACATTGCAACTGACAGTGACATGCTTGTTGCATCATCTTGTGTGTATAACATTGGGACTCACTATTGGGCGGAGTCATTGAGCTGATACTCTCGTGAGCGGCTAAAGCAAGCCTGAGTTCCAGTATCAGTCCACAGACGCACCATGGCAGCCAGCAGTTCTGTTGAAAATGGCTCTGTGTCTTCCATACGACCAACCACATCAAATACGATCTTAGCATCTGCCTATAAACGCATGCAAAATGTTAGAAACATCCTGTTAAATACATATGAGTGTAGAATGACACCCACTAAACAGGGTTTCTACAGACATGAACAAGTTAAATTTAAGACTTTTTAAGACATTTTTAATACCACCTTATATAAATTTTAAGACCTAAACCTGTAATGGAAATACACATTTTTATTACATACATACATGTAATATTTAATGTGTTTAAATTAAAAAGAAAACAAAATATCATTGCTGTAATAAATTATATTTATTACTACGATATACAGTGAACTTTTAATGTCAGCAGACAATATTTCATACAAAATATCCCTGCAAAATAACTGCATCACTGAGATTTTTGGTGGAGTAAACAATTTATTCTGAAGCAATATTTTCATCAGTGTTCTATCATCTTTTACATACTTAAATCTGCATATTTTTATTTACCTTTACAAAGGCCTATTTTTAATCAAATTATTACAATTTATCAATAAATTCAATATACACTTATAGGGCTGCTACCAGTCAGATTAAATAATTTACACTGCAGATAACAATAATTACAACTGCAATAAATAATGTTATGAGATTAATGTTTTAAATGCATTTATGAATATACAAATAAGAAATTTTGAGGGGAAAATGCATACTTTTCAACATACTTCTCAACTAAACTACCAGCAAGTGGCGGTAAGTCACTTAATGAGTAAGTCATTGAGTCACTCATTCAACTGATTAAGTGTGTTATCATGCTGGTATCTTCAGGACTTTTGTGGACAGCTGATTCCTAAAGTTTTAGATATTCTTCACATTCTGTGTGGTGGTCAGATAGAAATGAATCTTTTCCAATAAGTTTAAATAGATTTTTACCTTTTATGGGCATTTTACCTTTATAAAGCCATTTTTTCTATAAGTGTGCATTATCTTTTGAGTCAAATTCTTACATTTAATCAGTGAATAAGAATAATAAGACATTTGGGCTGTTACCAAGCAAATGAAATCAGTATCAACAAAATTTATCTCTGCAATTCAGACATAAGCTGCACCTGAAGTGGCATTTAGATGTGTTTACACACTGTTTAATGCAGAACATGAATGCATTTAACCTGTAGTTACAAATGCATAAATAATTTGCTAAATTAAACATAAAAAAATTGAATACTGATATTTGAAATGATTTAAAAAATGAAAAGATACTTTAAATGTGAAATTAAAACCGTCAGTAGGTTGCAGCAAGACACGGTTAATAAGTGAGTCATTGCGATTGAATCGAATCATTTAAATGGTTGATTCATTCAGGAACGTTTAATTCATTCAGGAACAAAACGCTGTCATGTTGCTCAGAGACGCAAAACAGCCTGTGGCTTTGTTTGGAATTATTTTTTGTTGGCGAAATAGTGCACAAACAGGCAATATGGTGTCTAAAACGTAAGTCTCTTAATAAAACTTCTAGTTTATTGAACTGTTATAAAAAAATATCAATATTACATTTGTATAGGCCTATGGTAATTTTTGGAGAGAAAAAAAGGCACTCTTCCATGTGAAATTGATTAACTATAAGAAGTGGTATAAATATACACATTTTCTGCCCCCATGTCTTGTATTGTTACTCCAGTCACATGATCCTTCAGAAATCCTTCAAATATTCAGATTTGCTGCTCAAAAAACATGTATTATTATTATTATGTTGAAAATGAAAACAGCTGAGTAGAATTGTTTCAGGTTTCTTTGATGAATAGAAAGTTCAGAAGAACAGCATTTATCTGAAATATAATTTTTTTGTAACATTATTAATGTCTTTATCGTCAATTTAAAGCATCCTTGCTAAATAAAAGTATTAATTTCTATAATTTCCCAAGGAAAAAAAATATACTGACTCCAAGCTTTTGAATGGTATATGTAGCCTATAATGTTACAAAAGCTTTTTATTTCAGATAAATGCTGATCTTTGGATCTTTTTTATTGGATCTTTCTTACTGTTCAAACAAATTTTGACTGGTAGTGTATGTACAGTATGTATGTGCCACACTCAGGGGCTTCATGCACGCATGATTTTTGAGGGGGCACGAGTGGGGGGGTGGGGGCTCGTCATGCTTGTCATGTGACACAGCAGCCACAATAGCACTGTATAACTGATATAGGCTTGTGTTTTATTTATTTATTTTTTCCTTTTTATTCGAAATATTTCCAAACGTGTATCAGGAAATATCTCGATTCTCAAACAAGTAAGTAAATGCGTTTTTGTACCAGATTGTTATTTGTGGGTGACAAAGTAGAGTAATAGTGTAATCTATTAACTACACATAAAAACCCGACTTTTTACTTAAATAGGCCTACCAGATATGGGTGTCGTGCCATAAAATATTTTTAACACGACTAACTTTTTATTTAATGTGAATTTAATAACAATATTGTAAGTTAGGCTACTATATTAGGCTATAATATTTTCATTTTACAGAGAACAAAGAATATTTAAATTATCAAAGAACATTTTCACTTCAGTCTAGCCAGAGTTCAGGCACTCTCAAAAACTCCCATTTAAATGAATATCTTACTTACATTCGTAGCACATCTGCACAGTCAGCGAGCGAGCGAACAAAACGCCGCGTTTCAGCGATGACTCATCGGAACGCCTCTGATTGGCCATTGCATTCATAAGCTCAGCAGACTCGTGTGTGATTGGTTATAATGCAGCGCTGTACAAACGCGTCTGTCTCTGGCTCAGCGCCAGCCAAAGCGCAAACGCAGATTTGAATAGCAGCTGATGCTGTGCCGCACTAAACGATCTAATCACACCGGTGTGATTGTATCAAATATAAAAATACTTCATCGCTCTGTCTACAGCGCATTTTGATTGGATGTTTACGCTGTCAATACAGGAGACAAACCAATGGGCCTCTGGCTGCTCGCTGTCCGTGCGTGATGGTCCTCGGCCAAAAAAAAAGTGCTTCCTCGGCACCTTAAATGCGTCAGCCCACCGGGAAACCGCCCGGTATGCCCGATTACCAATCCAGCCCTGGTTATGAATAAACTAAACATTGTGAATTTTTACCTCAGTGTGTTTCTTCTGAGTTTGTGTGTTTAGTATTGGATGAATCAATGAATCATCGATCCACGACATTCTAATTTATTGAGATGCACTTGTATATATATTTCACACACACACACACACACACACACACACACATACCCTGGAAATATTCACAAGAATGTATTTTAATGCAGGTAAAGGCAGTTTAAACGTCATCTGCCATAGCTGCTTGCTTCAGTAATGATAATAATATGATTTCTTTTTAAACGAAGGAAGTGAGTGTTTTTCACTCATGCTCAACACATTGTGCTTTTCTGACAGCCGGTGAGGAGGCCATTACAATAGTCCACCCTGTAGAGCTAAACAAACGGAAAAAAAGAATCGAGTATTATTAAAAAAACAAGTCGCCTATACAACAACGAAGAAAAATAATACTACTTACGCACAACTGTTTCTTGTGTGCTGTCACGCTCATTAGTTCTGAAGTCTCTCACAAAGAGCCAAACAGAGCCTCAGCGCGAGCTTGTATTCTGTATTCTGCGAACTTACTGCAGTTCTCTCTGAAGACGCAGTGATTTACCGCGGGGAAGAACACATCTTCGGTCTGTCCAATGACTGTAAACAGTCACTAGCTCCGTCAGACTGAAGATATTTTAGCGGTAATGTGACCAAAAATATTTAAGAATCCGATAACCCATAGAATCCGAATTTAATACTTTTTAAGGCCTTATATTAGGAAACCGTTATTTAAGACTTTTTAAGGACCCGCGCACACCCTGCTAAATGTTCATTGCATTGGCAACCACAATGATATTTTCTAATTCATACACTAGGTGTCACTGTAGCTCAGTGCATCCTCTGAGAAGTGTGGTTTGGCGAGTTCAATCACCAGGAAAATCTAATGCAAACATTAAAGAACATTGCAAATCAAAACCAGCGTAAACAGGTACATTAACAGAAGGGAAACTGCCCTGTTGTTTTCTGCCACCCTGTATTGTTGTATCACACCAATTATATTATGATGTTTGAACAAAAGTAATACGGAAAATAATATATAATACATATAGATAAAATGCTTCAGGAGAAATCAATAAAACATTTCATCTGAATATTTAATAAAATCCCACCACTTGTACTTCATTATCTCTGTGGAGCTTTAAATCAGTTCACAAGAATGTGTGCATGTGATATACATACAGTTCTGTCCTTGTCTGTGTACTCTATACCAAGAGTTTCCATTGCTCGCAAGATGGTGCCAAGACTCTGAATGGTGTTGCTATAGACCACAG